TTGCAGCAATTTTTTTGACACCGGGATCTCCAGGTATCAAATTTTGGCACTGTGCTGCAAATTAGCAGCATAGCAAATGATTACATGTGTGCCACGTGCTGTTTGCAGTGCCTCACACAGCTTTGAGGTGCTACAAACCACATGTGCATGCTCATCTGCAGGTGCCCTTGGAGTTGGGGCTTTGTGGGCTTGCACCTTAAACTAGCACAATTTAGAGGAGATGGAGAGTGGCTAGTGGAGAGCCCTTGGGTTGTCAGGCACTGTCACCATGGGCATGAACAACGTGCGCCCCTGGAGGCTACGAGGGCACAGTGAGCTCCTACAAGTGGCAGCAGTGGTGTTGGTGGCAGGGGCATGGCAGTGGGGAGCTCCCACAGGCAGCTGCGGCGGTGTTGGTGGCGGGGGGTGGGGGTGTGGTGAGTGCCTATAGGTCGTCAGTGACCACCCGCAGACGCCGCTGGCAGCATCAGCAATGGCCAGCAGTGATCAGGGACTGCAGCAGACACCACTGGCGGTGTCGGCGGCAAGGGGGATGCGGGGGGTGAGCATCAGTGGTGCTTTTTGAATGGGGCTCACTGCCAATCTCAGGAGGTGCATGTGCAGCCATGTGCACCCCCTACACGTTGCCAATGACCATGGGGAAAATCACAGGATTGGTAGGAAAGGCCTGGGACCTGGGAAGTCCCCAGATCAGGCGCTGTCTCCTGCTGTCTACATTTAAGATTCTCCTGCCAAGAGAGCCCTCACCTCACAAACCAGAGGGCTGGGGATGTTGGTGGTGGGAGGGGAGGGGAAGGCGAAGGGGAATGTTGCACTCTGATGCCAAGAAGAATAGGGATTTCCCTCTTAGCAGAGGAGAAGATCCTGTACTTCCCCACACTGCCCCTTTTCTTAACCCCTTGCTAGAATAATGAGCAGTAGCTAGAGTGGACATGCCTGCCTAAGAATCAAAGAAATCCCAGTTACCATCCACCCTGCTCATCAGAGAGGACACGTCAGACAGACACCAGCTACCCCACCTGCTACTGCTGTGAGATAGGCACAGGAGTTGTACAGGGCCACTTCTGCAGAGGTGCACAGCTGGAAGCCTGACTGCTACAAAGGACTGTTTGGAAAACTTTGTGGATTTGGGTAGCAGTGGGAGTTGGGTTTTTTGTTTTCATAGTTTCATAGTTGTGAGGGGCTGGAGGGACCTTACAGATCATTGGGTCCAGCCCCCCTGCATCTTTTGTTTTGTTTTATTTTGGTTGGGGCAGGGCAGGGGCACATGGGAACAGGACAGTGAGATTTCTGCTTCCTACATTGTTGCTACTCTCCCATTCTGGGCCTTATCCGGAATAGGACTGACCCATCTTTCTGTGATACTCTCTGTCCCAGCATTCTGTAAGATTTCATTAGGGATAAAGTTTCTGGCCTTTCTAGGTGTGTACTAATACTCAGGAGGTGTGTCTTCCTGAGTCTACAAGCAGATGGAAGTTATAGGGAAGGAGAGAGGAACAACTCTTGTTCATTTCAGTAAGAGTTTGGACTCTGAGACCTTCTGAAGAAGATGTACATGGCAGTGTAGGTAATAGCCTCTCTGGCTGTTAACTATTTTAGCTGAAACATCTAGCTACTCTGTGGGGTGCTTGAGTAGAATACCATTATTTCCCCTGAAGTCTCACCATCCTAAGAACCTAGGGTGGGGGCAGGGCACCTCTTTGGTGAGGGTAATGACCATGTATGTGAGCAGGGGACTGACTGGAGGCAGGGAACATCTCTTCCAGCATCCGCTCAAATTTCTCAGTGCAGCAAGGACTGGCAATGGAGCTGAAGGCTTTATTGAAGCATGTTGATACTTACTGAAAGCCCAGGCAGATGGCACTGGATAAAGAGAATGGTATGGGAAAGAAGCTAACGGAACAAATGTAGTGATGTGCTGCCAGCATTTCAACAAGGGACTCCTGAAAAATACTCTTCTTCACTTAATGATGCATATGACACTCCTTGGGATAAAACACTTACCGCCAACGTATACATGTGGTTCATTGATTCCATGCTTTCCCCCATGTAAAAACATACTGATAGGCTGTGTTCAGGGAAAGCGGAGTACAGTTAAGCCCATATGTGTTTCGGGGAGAAAGGAATTGTGTGCAGAGAGTGCCTCTGGGGTGGAACATAGGTAGATGGTTGTTTCAATGGTTTTGTGGATTAAGTGTGGGTATGCAGTACATGTTTAAAAGGGTGGAAGTTTTGTGGCAGGTTGGCATGTAAATATGAATACCCAAAAACATTGAATATGGGTACCTATGAAGGCGTACCCCATACCATAGTGATGTGTACTGGGGGAAAGGGGAGGGGAAATTGTGGCAGTAGATGGGGTATATGCATTGCATTCACACAGAGAGGTTCATGGGTTCATGCATTTCCAGAAGTATTATGTGTTTACGTATGTCCATGAATGGGTGAACTTGCTTGTGTGTACGTGGGTGGGTAGGTGGTATATGCAGGCTATATTATGTGTGTGCCATGAGGTTGGAGGTCACAGTGGATGAATGCAAGCATGGCTCACGAGTATTTGTGGATACGTATGCGTGACTTTGTGAAGGGGAGAGATTCTGAAGTGGGTGTGGAAATTGTAGGTAGTGATGGTTGGATACCAGACCCCTCTTCCAGAGTGAAACTGTTCGCCTCATATCACCCTTTAGGGCTACCTCTGTGCTAACTAGTGGTGATGTGTGGCTTTGAACTGGATTTTAAATCCTTTGGAGGGCAGATGGTACCATTCTTGTGGATTGAAGTGCTATTCCACTGGTTTTACAGCTCTATCTCATGGCCAGCTAAAGCGTAAATGCCACCCTGGGAAATAATACTACATTTGCAAGGTTGATGTATTACCTGAAAAATATTGATGTTAAAAACAAAGGGCACAGTCTTGCAAACACACACATACTTTCGCTTATCTGAGTGTATAGTCCTACTGAAGTCAATGAGATTACTTGTGGAAGTAAAGTTATTTAGATTTGCACAGCTTGGTCCTGTGTTACAGCTGCATTATTTTACATGTCCCTGAGACTGTTTAGTCGTAGGAGGCAATTGACAGAATATGACCTGTCAGCAGAAAATAATCAGTACTAACAACCATGTATTATAACTATGTTTTTCCTATTATAGAAATCTTTAATATCTTGGGGCACATTTTGTGTATGCAGCTAATATTTTACATTAAGTGGAAATAATTCATGTGAAGCTTGATATATTCCTATGGCTGTAAAATAGTTTACCAGAGGGATTCAGTATGAGTGTTGCTGTCATGATGAATCCTAGAGAAAGGCGGGGGG